TGCGGTTTATTTTGTTTTTTGTACGTCGCATTATGCCGGACCCCCGATACACTCTCCGCCGTTGGTCTTCCGGGCGAGTCAGTGGAAGCTCATAGCACGTTCGTCCTTTGCGGGAGGCTGCCCCCTCCCTCTCCCTTCCCCAATCCCATGGCGAGACGGGGTGGAGAGAGGGGGGGGGGAGAGCATGAAGTAGAGGGGAACCGGGGACATCCGAGTAGGCCTTAGGATAAAGATATAAAAGACAAGGGGGCCGGATGTCCAGACAGACTCAAGTCAGGCAGCTGACGGCCCAAACCCCAGAGCAAAGACAACCACCGCACACAAAAATGAAGGTAAGTAACAAAATAGTAGTTATACCTGACCTACACATTCGTGTAAGCGCGAGCTGTAAGTGCAATAAGCCCTCCTCCTTTCATCTTTGCCAGGTGCTGCTCCTCTCAGTCCTCTTGGTCGGCGCCGTGCTGGCCGAGCCCGCCTTCCGCCGGCAGCAGGTTCAGCAGGCGCAGCAGGCTCCTCAGGAGAGCGAGGAGGCCCCGTACGCGCCGTCCGGATGGAAGCCCTCCGGGCAGCGCCTGGAGCTGCCCCCGATGCAGTACGGCGCCCCCAAGGAGGAGGAGCTCGACGCCACCACCGAGCCGCCCACCGAGGAGCCCCCCGCAGAGCCCCAGCAGCCCAGGGCCGCCCCCAAGCCGAGACCACAGACTGCCGCCGTTCGCAGCGAGAAGCAGCAGGTCGCCCAGGGCGAGTACTACGTGATCCTGCCTGACGGGCGCCTCCAGAGGGTGCAGTTCGCTGCGAAGCTTGAAGCCTCTCCGAAAGCGGAAGAAGAGAACAAGGAGGACGAGGAGGAGGATGTTGAGGACCGCGCACCTGCCCCTCGTCCTGCAGCGCCTAGGTCTGGAAACCGCCCTGTGCCCCGCTCCCAGCCCGCCCGTCAGCAGGCTGTAGTCCCCGCCGTGCCCGTGTCACAGGCCCAGTACTTTGTGGTCCTGGCCGACGGTCGTCAGCAGGAGGTGCAGTACTTCGGCAAATTAGAGGCCACACCCGCCGAAAACCTGGACGGTCAGGATGACGACGAGGCCGCCGCCAAACCCGCTGCCCACCCTGCTCCTGCGCCCAGGAGGTCCGCCCCCAGACCCGCGGCCCCGCGCCCCCAGGCCGCCCAGCGCCGCTCCCAGCCCGAGCGTCAGCAGGTGCAGCAGGCACGCCCTGTCGTCCTGCTTCCTCAGCAGGAACCGCTCCAGGAACCCGCCGTGCCCTCCAGCTTCGTGGCCGAGCTGCGCTTCATGGAAGTGCCTCCCATCGCCGGCCCTGTGTACTCCTACTCTCAGCCGCTCGTACGCGTTCAGCGTGAGATCTAGACCAAACAACGAACCAAATTGCCAAATTTCTAGGATACCTGAATTACAGGAATGCCGGTAAAACAAAATAAGAGATAGCTGTCGTTTGACGGTCATGTGACTACGCCCGAACTTTCTGCAATTATTATACTTCTACCATGACCGTGATCTATTCTGTCTACTGGTGCGAACCACAAAAAGTAGACGGTTGTAACCACCCACCAATAATCCCTCTGTTTGCTTTGCCCTCCTGTTTGTACATTTGCTGACACTATTTATTTTGTAATTTATTTCCTTGCAATTTTTTGTTTCAAAAAACATTAAATTTTTATCATAACTAAATAGATAGACGTGTGCTTGAAGGAAGGCGTTACTCTCCTGATACTTCTGATAAAAAGAGATGTAAAAAATAAGTAAGTAGGGTCTTGTCTGGTTTTTGGAAGAACCGGCAAAGATATTAGAGGCAAACTCCACAGTCTTAGTTGAGGTATTAACTTGGCAACGTTCCGTCCGAAGTCCACCAGAGCCAGGCCTTTTGGAGTTGTAGGAAGGGGGTGTGACGTGCTGGCTACAAAACGTGCCCCTCCGCCCCCCTCTTCCCTCGGCCCTCGCCTCGGTCGTATTATGTATACCATAGGGACGGCCTGAGTTACCCGTGCCAACGAAAGTGACCGAGGCCCCTACTGAGAGAGACTTGGAAGTCCAATCCCCACTCCACCCCCCCTAGGCTCGGACACTTCTTGGCGCGCACCCCAGGTGAAGCGATCGCACGCATGTGTTAGTGTGCGACGAGAGGTCGCAAGGTCATGCGGTTAGTGTCAGCCGCTGCCCAGAAGAGGCGTGTGCATCTGAGTTCGTTGAGTTCACAAAAATATATAGCTGTCAACTATAATAGAAATTGTTCATCATTATTGCAAATAAGATAAGTAAAACTGTAAGAATCTTTTTCATCCAACTTTCCTCGTCAACAAAGGGCGTAAGGTTAAATAACCACGTCTCTGCGTGTGAAATGAGACGATTATTAAGAGCAAAGTGCATGTTTTGTATTGAGGAAATAAAAATTGTGCGGAGCCAAAATATATTATATTGTTTGTATCATTTATTCATTGCACGATACAATTGCTGACACAGCTTAGGCACGGCAGCTCTCAGGGATGTTGACCTTGAGGGACTTGTTGGCGCCCTTCTGGCTGAAGTCGGGGTTGGCACCCTTCTTGATCATCTGGGCCCAGTGGCGGGAAGCGGAGCTGTCAGACACGCAGTGGAAGTCGATCTTCTTCTCGACCTTCTGGGTGGGCTGGCAGTGGGCGTTGCAGGCGGGCTGGGGGCGCAGAGAGAAGCAGATCTGGTTGTCCTGCTCGATGACCTTGACGCGGTGGCTGGTGCAGCCGGCGGCGGTCTTGGGGGAGGACTTGCGGGAGGAGCTGCTGGACTTGTGGGACTTGCTGGAGCTGCGGCTGTGGCGGGGCTGGTAGCGGCCGGCCTCGTTGTCGCTGATGACGTCACCGTACAGGATGCGCTCGGGGAAGCAGGCGGCCTGGTTGGCCTTCTGCTGCTGCTCCTTGACGGAACCGGAGGGGTTGATGGCCCAGGTGGCGGCGAACTGCTGAGCGTTCTTGAGGACGCAGTTGCGGGGGGCGGTGAAGTCGTTGAACTTCTCGCCGTCGAAGGTACCGCAGAGACCGCGGACCTCACCACGGTAGGTCTGGCCGACGATCAGAGCGACGCGGTTGCCGTCGTACAGGATCTCGATCTGCTGGTTGGGAGCGTAGAACTTGACGGTGTTGGCGGGCAGGGGGTAGACCTCGGCGAAGACGTCGCCAGAGTGGCTCTTGGCCTGACCGGCGTGGCCGGCAGACACGGGGACGGTCAGACCGTTGACCTTGATGGTGGGGTAGCCGGAGCTGGGAGTGAACTCGATGACATCCTCGTCGAAGATGACCTTAAGCTCCTTCTGGTTGTGGGAGTTGCTGTAGTCACGGACAAGGACGGAGACCTTCTCGGTGGCGTCCTCCTGGCTGGAGGAGCTGGAGCTGGAGTCAGCGTCGACCTTGGGGACGGACTGCATCATGACGTGCCAGTTGTTGCCCAGGTTCAGGGGGTAGGTCTTGTTGTCGAAGGTGTTGGCGGCGCTCTGGTCAACGACGCACATGGCTGCGCGGGGGGAAATCAAGGTAAGTATGTTTTGCAAGGTGTGCACGAGTCACTGCCATCGGTTGAGTATATATACTTACGGAAACCACCGGCGAGGGCCTTCTGGGCGAGCAGCTGGCTCTGGCTGTACATGGGGTGGATGGCGGCAGCGCGGGCAACCCAGGGGTTGAGGCGGACGTTGTTGAACTCGGCGCTCATGGCGGGGGCGTCGAGGGACAGGTTGGCGGACTTCATGTTGGGGGCGAAGCGGAGCTCAAGCTCGACCTTGTTGTTGTGGGAGTTCTTGGGGTTGACGAAGTTCTCGGAGCTGTACTGCCAGCCGAAGTAACGGGCGGCGGCGTAGGCCTTGTAGG